AACCCTCCCTCCCCAGATTTCTAAAAACTTTCTTTTGTTTATCATCATCCTTTGGAATAACTACTCCATTGGTGAAACTTTTTACCCATGGTTTCTTAAATTCATTCGTTACATCGTGTCCATTAGCTAATCGAATATAATCGTCTACGGTTATCTTATCTTTAGAGTAACCCTTAAACGTTTTTATTTCTTTTAGAACACTATAGGAAGTTAGAATTAATTTTTGGTGCTAAATATAAACCAAATATAATTCCACCATCACCGTAATCATTTTCTCCTTTACAATAATCATTTTCGGACACTAACCCAGCTTCATTTAATTTATCCCAATTGCGAGACGAAATGTATAAACTATCGGTATCCGTATAGTATATTTCAGGCTTATAAAATACATCTATCACGCGAATAAAATTATTCATTATTTTTTTACTGTGAGATAAAACGAATGATAAAGATTTATCTCAAATCATTCAGTCGATAAATCACGGAATGGACAGAGATACATTCAAAAAAGTTTGTAAAGCTCAATGGAGAAACCCAGATGAACATGGATATTTATTTGTAAATACTAGAAAACCCGCAGGTGAAAGAGTTATGATCGACATATGTTAATTTTATTTTTTTAAAAATGAGTGACGATTGGAATAATATTTTAAAAAGAAATAAAGAATATATCAAAGCTAAGAATAAAATAAAGACCCAAGTTGAAAATAACAGATTACAACAACTCGGATTAACGGAAAATCTACAAACTCTATTTCAACCCATATTAAAATCTCAAGAGGATATTAAAAAGAGACTCATCCCTCCTATAGAACCCATACCTCCTATAGAACCTCATCACCCAGAACATATATTAACAGTCTTTTTTCAAACCCTAAAGCAGATTTACCAAAGAGTATTACACCAATCATTGATGATGAGGGGTTATTGTTTAATGGATTTAGAATAAAATTTAGGGCAAATTCCCCTATATTCAAAATCGATACAAAAGACTTAATATTTACATTAACGAAAGGATTAATAGATTTAATGAATGGCGGGTATATTGGCATTGCCGATTACAAAGATTTACTAGCATACTCAAAATTTCTACATGCAATAAGAAAGTCGGGACCCGAAACAAGAAGATCGAAAGCAGTTGAAACATATTTAAATAAAGTTATTCCTGATAAAGAGGAATCAGATGATTATGCAGAAGATTATACACCAATCATACAAGAAATAGACGATTTCGATGATATGGTGGCTTCTGGACAAGGTATAACAACGTATATTAAAAATGTCAAATAAAGAACAACTATTCGTCATCACCTCACATAAATCAGACATTAAATTGTCTCTAGATTATGAGTACGAACTCGATCGCAATCAAGAATATGAATTGGGATTAAAGCATTTCTCTGTTTACAATTCCATTAGAAATATCAACGAAAAAAATAATCAAATAAAAATATCAACAGATAATGGAGTTACGTTCAAAACCATACGTTTACTACCAGGAAGCGACGAATACATAGCCATTAACGAATACCTATCTGAATAGCTAATATCGAGAATGATATCGATGTGATAAATATACATTGCAATTTGATAAACGGTTGATATTTCATTAAATACAAACATCAGATTATATACAGTCTTCCAACATTCACTGTACCGATAGGATATAGAATTATAGAGAAACCATTCCAAACGATGTATTTACCACTTAATTCCTTTATGATTAAAGATATAAATCTGGAAATCAAAGATGATAAAAATAGGTTTATAGATTTTGGTAACGAGGAAATTGTTATTCAACTTATTTAAAACAAAAAAATTAACACTCTTCATTCTCTTCTTGAATAGTTAGGTAATCGTAATCATCAAATTCGTAGTTTTCATCTATGTTCAATTCTTTTCCATCGTTGTAAGGATACATGATTCCTTCACTGTTTGGTGCTTTTCTCTTAACGAGATTTAGATAACTTCTAAAAACTTTCTTTTGTTTATCATCATCCTTTGGAATAACTACTCCATTGGTGAAACTTTTTACCCATGGTTTCTTAAATTCATTCGTTACATCGTGTCCATTAGCTAATCGAATATAATCGTCTACGGTTATCTTATCTTATCTTAAACGTTTTTATTTCTTTTAGAACACTATAGGAAGTTAGAATGATATTGTATTTAATTTTTGGTGCTAAATATAAACCAAATATAATTCCACCATCACCGTAATCATTCTTTCCTTTACAATAATCATTTTCGGACACTAACCCAGCTTCATTTAATTTATCCCAATTGCTAGACGAAATGTATAAACTATCGGTATCCGTATAGTATATTTCAGGCTTATAAAATACATCTATCACGCGAATAAAATTATTCATTATTTTTTTACTGTGAGATAAAACGAATGATCCCAAATGACTAGGTGTTAGTCGTGTAGATTTAGGAGGTGTACAGTCAAATTCTTTTTCTTCGTCATTAATTTCAACTATATATTGACTATCATTTACTTTTTCATAGTTTATAACGTGTGAATCGCAGTTGGCTTTTAAAGTCGCTTCACTCCATGTCTCGATGTAGTTATATCCTTTTGAATAGATTTACCATACAATGAATTGCCTAATAATTTCATGCAATTACTACCTACGATATCAACTTCTCGGTTATAATATCTTAGATCTCTCAAAATTAAAATATAATCTCTATAGCATCAGGTATATTACCAAGGAAGACCATAAAGCAATTTTATCAGACGTGGATAATGATATGGTGAGTCTTGGATGTAAAGCTTGGATGACAGCCCGAAGGTATTACAAAAGTAAGAATTTACCACCAGGTTCATACCCTTATTGCAATCTACCGCCTCATCAAAAAAGGCATACATGGAAATTTACAACCAGTATGCAGGAGAAAATGTAATGGACGATTTAAAAGAACAATATAGAGAAGAAAATCTGCAAAAGTGGCAAAGAGCATGCATTGGAATGTTAAAACAGACTGGAGATAGGGAAGTAGTTTGGATTTATGACAGAGATGGAGGAGCAGGAAAAACATATTTAAGCAAATATTTAAATGCAACGGAGGGAGCTGCAGTATTCCAAAACAGTGTTTCGAAGGACATAAGTTATGCCAACAAAGGTGAAAAAGTGGTGTGTTTAAATTACACCAGAGAGGATCAAGATAAAGTGAATTACTCAATTTTAGAAAACTTAAAAGATGGATATGTATTTAGCCCTAAATACGACAGCACAACTTAACATTTTGAACCACCAAAATAGTGTGCCTTGCCAATTTTCTTCCTGACATGACAAAGATGTCACAAGATAGATATTGGAATTTTAGACTGGAAAAAGATATAGAAAAAGAAGAGTACAGAATGCTTATTGTATAGTTTATTAAAATAAATAAATGATATAAAACATTTCACGTAACATAAACTAAAATCGCAGCTAATGAGAAGATTAGCATAACCCCTACGTAAGGATAGCACTGGTCCCTTGATCTTCCATACTTTCTTGATCAACCATGTCAAAATCATCGGAAACATCATCAGTTGTATCCATAGCAGAATAAATCTGGCCATCTCTCCTACCCCCCCAGGAAAGTCCAACTGAATAGTAACCTTCGAAAAAGGTATTAGGAGAAGCTTCAATGTTATAAATGATTCCATTGCAAGAAGTATCTGGTTTTGCATTAGGAGTAAAGTAGGCTGCATCAAACCAAGGTGCAATACCTTTACCTCCAATAGTGCCAACAGCATTTGTAGGAGTAGCCATCATAGGATGAAATTTCGGATACATTTTCATCTTATATTTCCTTCCAAAATGAATGAGATGCTCTCTTGTATTAGGACAATCGTTCTGATTATCCACGGTCATAGTTCTACCATTACAATCTGGATCATAAGCTCTTGTAATCCTTGTTTGTACATAAGTTAATGAAGAAGTACCGTTGTTCCTCAACCAGTAAACCAAAGTCACATGGCGTATCTTTACCTAATCAAACATCGAAAGATAAGAGTGAACCTGAGATTTAATATTTCCGGAAATAAATGTACTGAGACTCCAACATAAATTAGAAGTATAAGTAGCTCCAGCAGTATTGATGTTGAGTTTTATGTTCAGAATGGACAACTTGATTATAAATCCTTCCCATAAAGTTTCCTCTTCTTCTAAATCGCCTACGAGGCCGGCGGAATGGTCGATTAGCGATACGCTCGTATCGACCCACCCGCCTACCAAAAAATCTTCGTTTTTTTCCGTAAAATCGTTTTCGGCGGGGATATGCCATCTTTAAGCTCCCTTTAACGTCGCTTAAATGAACAATTGACGTCGTGATGGAGATGGCATAGTAACGCCATTATAATAACGTCATAAAGGGATTCTTCATTCTTCGTCTTACAAACACGAAGAACGAAAATAGTCATAATTATGATATTATTTGACGTTATAATAATCGTGTTGCCATAACGTCGTCAATTGTTCTATGCAACGTTAAAGCGA